ATATTAGATATGATGTATGATGATATGTGGCTTCATAAGTTATCTTTATCCGAGTTTGTTCATAAGTACTTTAACACGACAGATGACATGACGCTCGGCAGAGCCTCGCGTGACTACGCGACAGCATCTCATAAGAACATAGCCTATACGAATATGAGGTGCTTAACGGTGTCCAATGTAATAAGAAAGAGTTTAGGTAAAACAGATAAGTATGAAGTGGATGAGATCTGAATCTGCCGATTATACAAGAAAACAAACAATGTCAAGTTCAATGTTAATTATAGGTTTAGGATCGTAAGTATATCCAAGAACATAATTAAATTAGAGAATGTCAAGTCCAAACAGCAGTATTTAACGGACATAGCTACCTTAGACAAACATTTCAGATATGACTACTGCACCACTTGCCATTCCGCGCAAGGGGCTTCAATTGATGGCAAGATCGTTATACACGAGTGGGAGAAGTCGCATTTAGTAACTCGTGAATGGTTATGGTGTGCATTGACCCGAAGCACCGATTTTAATAATGTCTTGTTCTACGAGAGTGCCGAAGCAGAGAATGAACTGAACGAAACAACCTTACATAAGTATTGGCTTAACAAGATAAGCACCTACAAGCTACAAGATCAGAAAGCGAACAGAGAGATAAACGAACGTAAGTATGTTGATCCAAGTTGGTTTATGAAGCGAGTGTATAGTCACTGTAATAATTGCGGTTGTAACTTTGAATTTGAATTTAAGAACGGCTTCTTAACGAGCAAGATAACAGCATCGCGCACGAAAGCGATAACTGTGAAGCTTGTTGTAAGCTTTGCAATTGCTCTGCAAGATAAATATTAAAGGTCAATGCCCTTAATATTCATCTTACTTTCACTTTATTACCTCTGTCATTATAATAAACTAGAAAATTATTGATTGAACCCATAATCTATTGTTGATGCTAAACTTGGTGAACTACTTAGTATTGTTGATGGACAAGCACTGTTGTTACTTCTTCTGGAACTATGAACGCTGTGAGGCGGGGAACTTCTTACACTTTGTGGTGGCGAACTTCTTACGCTTTGTGGCGGTGTTACTGTTTGATAAACTGGTAGCGCTGGATTACTTGAACGCCCTGACGATGAAGACGAACTACTAGATTGTGGAGGCGTTGGATTATTCTTATTACTTGCTTGTGCTTCTTCATTTTCTTCATCGTCTTCATCTTCATTAGCACCACCGCCTAAACCGAAGAAGTTTGCTACTCTCCTCAAGTCTTGCATCATTTGACTAGGTCTAGGTTCTGAAGTATGGGATGATTTGGAAGTGCTACGACTTATATTGTTTGGCAATCCACTGGGCATTGAACTGGGTTCTGACGGTTCAGATGGCGATGATATGCTGTTCTGTTTCAACATATACCTAAATGTTTGTGTCATCTTGTTTCTTCTATCCTTTAACAAACTTTCAAAATCTTTTATTTCGCTATCAAATATCCACCCTATACCTTCAAAGTCTGGATAATCTGCTAAAACTCCCTTCTCGTCTGTTGTTATGCCACGATCTCGTAGATCTTCAACTTCATAACCTGTAGTGTCTAAAAATGGGTGATACATACCTCTAATATAAATATCATCATCATCCGTTGTTCTTCTCTTCCTTTTTGGTAGTTTATCTTTGTATAAACTCAGTCGTTTATACATATATTAAAAGATCAGAAATTAAGTTCCTGTCATGGCACTTATTGCTCCCTTTACTGCTCCCAATCCTACTTCCTGTAATCCTGCTGAAAGGGCACTTGACGCCGCCGACCCTGCACTGGATAGGAATTGACGAACAACGCCACGGCCTCGTTTTTTCTTCATATTCTTCCATTCTCTCATTTTACGGCTTAGTTTTTGTTCATTTGCCATTGTTTCCCAATCGCCGTGTTCAATCATCCAATTAATAATTCTTACCAGACTCTCTTTTTGCTTCGTTTCATCTGGTTCGCCTTCAATGTCTTTAATGTCTCTCGGGGTTAATTGATCTCTATAAAACAATTGAAACAATAAACCATCAACTGTTATTCTATCATCAGTTAAAATGCTTCGTGCGTCATTATTGAAATTGAATACACCCCGTTCGTATATGCTTAATCCTTGATATTCGTCGTCCGGTATTAGTTCTTCTGCTGATAAATCGCCTTCAGTTTGTTCAGTGACTTCTTCAAGTTCTGGCATTCCCAATAATCCTGTAAATCCACGATTTAACATATTCTGAGTCAACGTGTCATTTAATCTATTTACGGCTTCCCTATGTCGCCGTCCCACTTCTCTTTGTCTTTCTGCTACTGCTCTTACTCTTTGTTCTATTTCTCTTCTTTGAGAACTTGCGTGGTATATTTGCGATGAACTTGCTTCTGACGGTGTAACCATTCCTGAATCGCCTTGGACTGTTTCAATGGGTGTATTAGCCCCTGAGTCGTCGCGAATGCTCGCGAGGCTCTGACGAGCGTCGCGATGTTGTTCTAAATGATATGTTTGACCATTTTCTCGCGATTGTTTTTGTAACATCATTTGTCGCATCTGCCGATCTAACACTCGGTTCTGTTGTTCTTTTAACAGTTCAATATGGTCGGCGCCATCAAAGAAACTACCCTGCGGACTGTTCCTGGCAATGGTCTTAACATTTGTTGATCTTCTTCTATCAATCCCAAAATTTCATTGAATGTAGGTCGTCTTTTGAGTCCGTATTTCTGATAAGGGTTGATAATCTCAAATCTTGCTGTTTTAGTTGCCATTAGTTTATATAATTATATTTAGATAAAATAATTAAACAGAAGCTCGCGGTTCCTCTTTTTCC